ACACCAACACAGTCATACGTGCACACACACATCCACACGCATATGCACACACACACACATGCACACGCGCACATGCACACACACACACACACATCCACACACACACACACACACACATCCACACACATATGCACACACATACACACACACACACACACACACACACACACATATATGCACACACATATGCACACACACATGCACACATATGCACACACACACACACACACACACACACACACACACACACACACACACACACACACACACACACACACATGCACACACACACACGCTCACACACGCTCACACACACACGCTCACACACACACACACATACACACACACATGCACACATATATATGCACATACACACATATGTACACACACACACACACACACACACAGAAATTTCTAAATGGCTTACAGTTCCTGGAGGTTAGGCATTGGACTAGCCCAGCCAGTAGAAAATGAACTCGACATCAGAAGGTTGTCCTCCAGATGACTGCACAGAACAGAATATAGTCATGAGCCAGTGCAGGCAGCAACCAAAAGCGTATTCTGACCAATAGCGCATTCTGATGCTGGCTACCTACAACAGCGGTAACTCAGACTAAGGTTTTCGGAAGAATCGTACCTGACATTTCTTCCTCTGAGAACCGACTGCTTCCGGGGGTAGCTCTGTGGAAATCTCTCTATTTATCCCTCCAATCAATAGTCCGCAATATTCAGTAAATAGTTGTAGGCATTGTCATGATATCACCCGAGATGTTTTTTTGTGAATAATGCAGAAGGAGGTGGCTGCTCCAGATGTTGGACCTCGCATTTGCTTCCAAATGACTGACACTTTGAAGCACAAGGGTCTACGTTTGGAGCCACCATCTTCTTCTACAATTATCGCAGAGATTGCAACATCTCAGTTCTTCACAATGAAAGTCTATAATTATGCCCGTTTGAGTTGCGATGTAATAATTATAAAAACAATACAACACAATACAATGTAGGAGCAGTGGTTTGCATGATGTGCGCTCAACTTACAGAACCCTAAGATTACTCAGGGTGAATCCAAAAGAATATCTTTGCAGCTGTGCAATAGAATTACTCTGGAAATACCTGCAGAAAAGAACCCAAGTGCAGACTTTCTATCAGTTTATAACTTAGAATTTGGCAGAAAACCTCAACATAAAAAAAACCTCAACATAGTGTATAGATCAGTCACACCACCATTCCGGAATGCGATCCCGGCCGACTTCGGACATTTGGACAGCACCATCACGCTGAGGTCAGGTTCTCCGAGGTGTTGAAATTACGGACCCTCCAGACAGAGGTCAATGTCCAACAAAGCTAGGGGCAGCAAAACATGAATGATTCCGGAATGTGAATAATGCGTTAAAATAAATGTGAACAAAAATTCAGGACCAATTAGAATCTACTTCCACCGGTCTTGGTATATCGGCTAAGCTATGTCGCCGAATGCCTCAGTACTCCGTGTCAGTTTTGTGCCATTTTGTCGCACTCGCTGACTGTATAAGATCCGGTTATGTTGGTGGACAGTTAGTCATAACTCGTAACATTTTGTCATTCTTTTCACAATAATTTAATCCGCTCACCATCCGAGTTAAATAGATGTGAACACAAATTAAGGACCAATTTGAATCTACGTCCACCGGACATGCTAAGTCTGCTAAGCTATGTCACTATGTGGTAGGGTATAGCAGTTATCATGTGACCTGTGTCCGTTAAACTCTTTCTTCAGACGTCGAAACTCATGCTTCCTAGGACTCCACACAACGTACCTAAAAGAAGTCAAACTTACAAATTTTGCACACTGCGTTTGCCACTGAAGCCATTTACCATTGTTTGTGACAACGAGACTGGAAATTCTCCATGGTGAGTCCTGCACGAGTGAAAATACACACAGGAAATTAAATCTACCGAAAAGAAAGCATAGGCCAGCATGCGACGAGCCAACCTATGCATCACAGGCATATAGATAATTATACCTTAAAGACCAGTCACTGTAGGTACTTGACCTTGTGATGAGTTCTATAGACCCTCACGTTTGACCGCATTTTTCCAGAGGATTAGCCGCACGCAGGTCTAAGGAAGCTATTTTTAGCACGCTGTTGCCACGAGAATAGCTTTTACTAAGCGCGGTGCAACCATTTTTGTCACCATATGCGCGATACAAGGGGAAATGCATATGGACTATACAATATTTGGCCAAAAAACTTAACGTTGGTGACAACGATAAATCAGCCCCCATAACGTTTTCACGCTGCAGCTTCAACGCTATTTGGGTGATCAAGGTACGGGTGTCTATTATTTATGAAGGAAACTGTCTGGTGAAATACTAGTATGCCATTTCGAAACGAGAGAGCTTGGAAGCTCAGGGCCCTACGCTATGCTTTTTTTGCCTTGATGACCTAGAAAAAAAAAGCATAGGGATGTTTAAATTCTTTAAAAAATTCCTTTTTTTAAGACATAACCTGGGATTCGAACCCGCACTATCGCGCGCCCTGCATGCATCCACCGATACACTTCGCATACATACTAATTCTTCCAAGTTGTTTCACATAGTGATCTTGCATTTGAAAGCCCTATTTGAATATGCATTGTGGCCAGCCGTCTTTGATGGCACGGTACGGTAGGGGATAGGTACGGGACAGGTACGATCGAGGGTAATACGACACCGTCTCCCTACCGTACCGTACCATCAAACAAAGCTGGCCACATACAGCTGCCCGCAATATTCAAATAGGGCTTTCAAACCCAAGATAATAACGTGAAGCAACTTGGAAGAATGGGTATGAATGCGAAGTGTATGGGGGAATGCATGTAGGGCGATAGTGCGGGTTCGAATTCCAGGATATGCCTGAAAAAAAGGAGAATTGAAAAATTTATAACATCCTATGCTTTTTTGCCGTCAGATACGGATAGCGGCAGGCGTGACACAAACAAACAAACAAACAAACACACAAATACCAAATTAAAGCTGTGTGTGTGGATCCCATGTGTTCGGCGTGCGCTGGAGTACTGCCACCGTACCAGGCACTGCCTTTGCGGCACGGTCTGGTGCAGCGGCAGGGCACCAGCGTACGTAGAACGCCTGGGGTCAAAGGTGGTACGAATGTGTACGAATGTATATTCCCCGGAGTTCCGGGGGATATCGTGCTAAAATCCCCGGAAATAACGGCTGCTGATTGGCTGAATCCATGGTTTCCTACGGTACTATGGGATAACTCCCACTCCCCTGGATGTGCATGGAGTGCCTCTATTGGAAACGTTTTATTAGAGAAAATACAGTAAGCCTGAATGGATGAGTCACAGAGTGAATGAATGAGCTTGTAGCCATTGTGCTGCATTAAGCAATAAGTCTTACACGCTGGTACAGACGGACGACTGGGTGTAGATGGTACAGTTGTACTGGTCTCTACATGTGCCATACGCTCTGGAGGGCTGGTCCTTGGCATAACCGGGATCACAACTCAGATCATAATTTCTGTACTGAATAAGATAGAGTTGCAATCCGTGTGGTATGGTACCTACAGACACATGGAGAAAAAAAACCAAAAACCGAGCACAACATGAAGATCCCATTCCTCTCCACTTCCTCGATCTGCATTCGCAAGTGGTTTCCACAGGTAGTGCAGTCTAGGTTATGCACCACGCATGGTTGGTTCCCGATCAGCACACCCTAAATGGTGCTCTCCAGGCAAAACATCACTAGGGATATAAACTTACAGAGACGCTCCGTTTCCAACGCGACAAACACCAACGGTCCCGAGCACCTCCATCAGCGACACCGACTCGTGCTCAGCAGCTATCTGGTGTTCACGAGGTGTTTGTCGTGCTGGAAACGGAGCAGTATCCCACTTTGTGCTGGCAAGAAAGTTCTTCCCAAATTTGCTTTCATTCTGACATGACAAAAGTTCTGTAGCAGTTCCTCGAAATACATCTCTTCCAATGTGGTAATCGAAATGGAAAGTCAAATTTGACTATACCTATTCTCCTTGGAAGGATGATAAGGGCATATCCATGCACAAAAACAAAGCGAGGTCTGAGTCTGTGATGCGCTATGGCGTTTCCGCGACTCTATTCTACTCCACTCGATGTCCTGTCACAGACGGGCTGTTTTTGGGAGAAACATTGGACCTGCTGCACCTGTTCCTACACCTCTGTAATAAGGGGAGTGAAGCAAACGAGCAATCTGACTCGGGACCAGGGGCAATTTATTCCTTATCACTTACGCTGGGAACAGTCTCCCAGGGCTTGCCAATCCTGCTTGCAAAAGCATTGGCCATTAGACCAAACCATCACGGCACTGTATTGATCACAATGCGTCTCTATGGAGCAGAGACGCAGAGTATGGAGAAGACAGACACAGGCACGGAAAACACAGACACGGAAAACACAGATATGCACAGAACACAGACACACACAGAGCACAGGCACGGACAGCATGGAGGGTAGGGATTTAGAGAATATCAATTTTTAATTTAGATACAGTAAACACTAGTATATTCACAACTCGCTGTTGTTGGGCTGTTTTCGTTGTGGGAGTTTTGCGTAGAGAGAGAGCGAGAGAGAGAGACAGCCGGTGTCCCCACCCGTTTGCCCCACCCTCGGAAGCTTCGTTGCTGCCGGGGGCAGTGCCTGAGCCTGAGGAAGTGCCACTTGTTGCTGCCGCGGCCGGGCCTGAGGCAGTGCCACGTGTTGCTGCCGTGCCGTTGCCTCCGCCTGATCCTTTGCCGTCGTAGCCTGCGGCGGTAAAGCATGCCCGTGGCAGGCCATACAAAACACCCACGACGATGACGACAGCACTAGCAACAGCGAATCCTACAGACACGCCGGCTATACATTTACAATTCCTTTTGTGTTGGCAATAAAAACTTACGTTTGAACGTCTTCGCTTACTCAAAAATGCAACTGTGAACAGAAATCAATGTGCGCAGTCTGCTCCGGAGGTCTTCCAGACGTCGGGCAAAAGAAACCCTTCTTGGAAGTTGGAAGGAGCACGCGCAACGCCTCCAATACCGTTTCGGAGACAACTTACCACTTGAGAGCGGAGCGAAGATGGCTTACCCAGTATTACAAGTTATCCTAGAGACCCTGATTAGGGAAGTTGAAGAGGTATAACTGCAGCCTCAGGTGCAGAAAGTGACAGAGACAAACCTCTACGTTGTAGGCTTCATAATAATTATTATACAGGCGCTCCAAGAAACAAGGAAATGGAGATGAAAGATTGTCCTGCGTGCTCAGCTTGCGTTGAGCATACAGCTTTGCATGGTAAAACTATTTATTACTTGTACAGTAATAAGTAGATCTACAAACACACTCCCGTGGTAGGCGCTAAGCACGCGCGAAGTCGCACTCCACCCGTCTGGACTCCTCCAGCGTGCCAGTTGCGCCAATAACAGGCCAGTGCATGCTGTTCAGCCAAAGACCTGCGAACACTGGGCCGGCCGTGAAGGCATGCAAGAGGAGACCATGAAAAAGGTGTTCGCGGGTGCGCAGGTGCTAGGTTCATCAGCATGCTGCGCGCGTCTGGTACAGTACAAGACTTAGTAGTGACAACTAGACAAAAACACCTAACGCACTGGAAGAGGCATGGCCAGGCAACTACGGAATAGACCACTGGAGTTGTCCGGAAGCTCATACTTGTATTGATCAATTCTTTGCGATTGTGAAGTAAAATAAAGCTAAACAAACAAACAAACGATTTGCTGGAATAAGTACATGTAACATATACAATTCATTTTCATTTGCCATAAGTATATAATATAACCTAACCAGTTGATTATATGGGAAATATAAACCTGTATACAAACCGAGGCGAAGCCGAGGTTTGTATATTGGTTTATATTTCCCATATAATCAACTGAGTAGGTTATATTATGCTTATACTGAGCTGATATACAAACTCCCCTAGTGTGATCCTAAAAAAAAAGGAGTTTATATACCAGTTTATACACCAGTTTATACACCAGTTTATATACCAGTTTATATACCAGTTTATATTCTCGTCATCGAAGTACCTGTTATATGCAAAATACAAGTCTGGAGTGTTGTGTGGGGAGAGATGGGAGTTTGTATACAAGCTCAGTATAACTAAGTATACACAGTTATCGCGTATAGTAATAATCGTCTTTATCACTACCTTAGTATTGACTCGCATCGATTTTTGCCATACCTAAGCAGTCAAATATTCCTGCATATTTCACTCCTTAGGGCTATATTGACTGCTTATATTTGACTGCTTAGGGGTTGCGCAGTTGAACGGTGCCTAGTGCAGCATTGTCACTGCATGAGTAGGTGGTGGTGCAACGGTTGTGCAATCATAAAACCGGGATTCATGAGGTTATCGTTCTGGACTTTGAAATACGGACTGTTTGTCGTGATAAAATCTAATATTGACTTCGTACTTGGTCAGTATAGGAAATAAAAACCTCGTAAAAGACCTCGGCTTCGCCTCGGTCTTTTACTCGGCTTTTATTTCCTATATTGACCTCGTACTCAGTCAATATTAGATACATAGTAATAATATTATATCGCCTATAGTGATCAAATTCATACAGTAAAACCTGTAATGGCGACCACTCGGATATGGCGACCACTCGGATATGGCGACCACTCGGATATGGCGACCACTCGCATATGGCGACCACTCGACCATGGCGACCACTTTTCCTTGTCACGGACGCATTCACTTTCAAAACACCTCGGATAAGGCGACCACTCGCTCAACGCGACCGGCGACCACCCACCCGCGACCGCTTTGTACAGTGCTAGTCATGTAAATGTACGCATTGCATGGTGCACCAGGCATCATGCATTCATGGTAGATCTACACATCAGTGCAGGAAGTGTAGATGTACATGCATGGTGCATGCACGACATTTAACAGGTCTGAGGACCCCAGGAACATGAGTCGTGCTAGAGTAGCATAGCCTGCACTGTGATGCACTGATTATTATCAAAATGATGTATCACATGTGGATATGGTCACGTGACCCACTGAACCTGGATAAGAAGACCACCTGGCCACGGCAGAACTAATAATATTGCGACAGAGCTTTCGGCCATATTTTCAATTCATTGCATTGCGCGTGGTTGTGATGAGTTGGGAATGCAATGACCTGGCCACGGCGACCACTTTTCTCGTCCCTTGAGGGGTCGCGTTAGACAGGTTTCACTGTATTTAAAAAGACTTTTATTACATTATTTTTGCATCGGTTATAGTGATTGATGTAAAATCAAGCGCTGTTAGAGGAGAACAGGGTGTTACTTCCTCGTGAAGAACTTGTCCAGTGAGTGTTGTTTGGTGAGTTTTGCTCGCACAAGTAACAGTTGCCAAAATATGCCTCCATCGTGAGGAAATGCTGATTTTCTGTGTCAGGAGCTACAGCCAGCTACATGATAATTGTACATGACTGTATGTAGTGCGTATGTGCACGGCACGCTGAGTCGTTTGACACCCCACTCTCATACATTGCATGCAGTATCGGTCATAGTACATGTATATCGCTTATAGTGATAAAATGCTCAAAATCAAACACCAACGCTATAGGCGATACTGACTGTACAGTGCTGGCAACTGAGATCCGACCCCCTTGCCGGCGCGGCGCACCGACAAGGGGGTCGGATTTCAGTTGCCAGCACTGTAGTTCGATTGGCTAGAATCGCCAAATTTTGATAGGCGGTAGTGAGCAAATCCTACCCTGTCCAGGCTCTGCGCAACAGCATTGATGTTTTGCCCGCGAGAAGAGAGTCTCTTTTTGGCACTACGCATAGTACAGTCGTCCCTCTCTAATCCGGGACCTTTTGAAACGTCATTTTCTGCTGGATAAACAAGGGTGCTGGATTATCAAATCATGCCCTCCAACCCGGCCCACCTCTTATCATACATGTACATGTACATGTTTGTGCCGTACGTCAAAAAGTAGCGATTTTCTGTGTCAATCCAAGTACTTTGTGGAATGCATGTCTATAACATACACTTGGGAATATCCTATGCACTAGCATAGGATATTCCCAAGTGTATGTTACATGTGTTGTGTATGTTACAATCCTCCTTGACTGCATGCGATGTACAACTGCTGGATTAGAAAATCGAATCATGTACAGTTTGAGTGATTTGTTGCAGAAAATCGCTGCTGGAGGCGGAATTCAAGTGCCGGATTAAAGGGCAGAAAATGAACTGAAAAAATCCGTTTTGCCAGAAAGTGTGATGGTTTCCAAAGGTGCTGGATAAACAAGTGCCGGATTAGAGAGGGACGACTGTACCAACAACTTGGCAAAAAGTCAGGCGTTCTTCAGGAGAAACTCTATTCCCTCCCCTATTAGTGGATATTATAAATACAGTTGTATTTCAAGGATTCCACAAAGGCTAAAGCCTATGTAGGGGGGGGGGGGGGTCCGGAATCAAGAAGGTGCGTGACGATCTCCATCTGTGGGTTTCTGAGGTGCCTCCGTACGGCACAAGGGAATAATTATGTGAATTCAGTTCTCTGCATTATACACGAACGTGGACATGGATTGACATACACCAAGAGTACATAACCCCCCAGAGTGTGCAACTCCACTATGGGTGCTGTCCCGACAGAATTTCAAGTTGACGTCATTTTGATGATGCAATGCGCACTGTACACGGATTATCGGACGAATCCGGAACCTGTGGTTGACCGAAGCCGATCGATCCTGTACAAATTATTGCAAAGAAAAACGTGTGATGCGCTGACACCCGTACACATGTTGTAAATCACTGGTGCAAGGAGCATTGCGTCATAAATAATGACGTCAACTTGAAATTCTGTCGGGACAACAGGGTATGTGGGAGTTGCACACTCTGGGGGGTTATGTACTCTTGCATACACGTATTCGCGTAGGGCGAAACATATTCAGTAAAGTTTCGAAGTCGGAGGACAATGTTGAACCGTCTCACCATAGCTCAGTGGTTAGATCATCGCTGGCCTCAAGCGAAGGTCCCTGGTTCGATTCCTGTTGGTGAAATCAATCTTTCCTTTAGACCTTTCCCCTTTTCCATTTCCTCAACCAGTGAATAAAAATTACCATCACAGTGATACACTTTCCTGATTGTCAACATAGTGCAACATCTAGTTCCAAAACCGGTGGGAAAAATCTGTATTCAGTGGGGAAGTACTGGGATGTGGGCAGCCTGTTTAGACTGACGAGAAACCTTGCGAAAACAGCCGAACATGCTAAGAGCAATCAGGCTTGTGTGGTGCGCCTGATTCCCGGTGACCGGTGTCGAAGAAGCGTGAAGACGGCGCATCATGCTCACAAACGAGACTTTTGCTAACAGTATGCATGACGAGTCAGATGTCTGTACAGTCAACTTCGCTTATAACGACACTCGGCGGGGCATCAAAAAAGTGTCCTTATTCGCGAAGTGTCGTTATACCCGAAGTCTCATTGTATGTATTACAGTTGGAAGGGACTTTGCTCTGGGCATAGAAATTCTGTCGCTATTCGCGAATTGTCGTTATATCCGCAGTTGTTATTAGCGATGTTGACTGTACACTGTACTTTGTATATACAGAACTGAGGCACCTTATGGAAAAGAAAACAGACCGGAGCCCCACAAAAGTCCACAGCCCAAACAATATTTGTCAACATGCACGAGTGTAGTGTAAGCGATTCACACTTCGCTCATGCATTTTGAAAAAATAGGAAATGCCTACAGCGAAATTAGTACTCCCTGGTGCTGTCTTGAAGCAGCTGTCACCGACACGATTCTTCACAGAAAACCATTCCCAAGAGTGGTATGGAGAGCCAAGGCAAAATGAAGAAAGAGAAGGACCACAGGCTTGCAAGTTATCCGGGTTTTTGTGTGTGAACATTAACAAAAGTTGAAATATACAACGTACAAACAATGGATAACTTGTAAACCCTTGGTCCTCTTTTTTCATTTGTCTACTAGTATGTACTCTAACACCCGCCTCTTGTTATTCAACGCCTACACTTTGAAAGGTTTAACGTGTAAACGCGTTTGCCTTCTCTTCAGGTGACTGATGATGAAGTTCGTATGCTTGTGGAACGTGTAAAAAAGTTGCTGTTGAAGAACCGAAAGTGTTTGCTCTTTTTATCTGAGAGGACAATTACATCATGTACAGTACTTGTAAGTTTTTGTGATTGTTCCTTAGCGGAACAGAAGCTTTCTGCCGAACTTGACACTTGACTGCCATCCGGAGCATGCGCGTAGCCCCATGCATCCTCCACTCAGCAAACTTCCAAGAGGGCACCACTGCATGCAGTCAAGTGTCAAGTTTGGCGAGAAGCTCTTTAGGAATAACCTATTCATTTTTTTTAACACGGCCGAAATGGTTACTTATTACGTTCGTCTTGTGATTTGGGTTGTACAATGGCAAAGCCTCAAAGGCACTCTTTCTATGGAGACAAGCTCTTTTCCACGCCTTGGATGTCCTCGAACAAGCACATTAAATATTTTAGGTTTTCAATGAAGGCGCCTACACGTCGTCTCTCAGCGATCGAGACTAGCACTCAGCCACAGGTGCCCTCTGAACCCTCGTCGAAGATATTTCTCCGCTCGCAATCCGGTTTCCTTTGCTTTCACCAGGGTATCTTATCTCCATTTTCCTTTCTATACAATGCACTCTGCCTCTCCCCTTGGACTGCTGCTCCACATCCACTGGTGCATTGACACGGAGAAAGTCGGCCGAGATGTTCCAGTTTCACTGCCACAGGTGCGACGTCAGCCACATCGACCCTGCAAGTTTTCTGTTATTGAGGTTGGTGGTTTCTAAAAAAAACTTCAAACAAGTAACATGCAAGTGTATTCAAGGGGTGGTAATTCACAGAATCAATAAAAACAAACTGCGAGGAGACAACAATTTCAGAATCGCAATAGAAAAAAATGGTTGGATGGACTTGTGATTAGTTGCTATCGAGATGCATCCGACCTCCGATAGATGCCCTGAACCACGTGCTCAAGTCTTGCTTTCATTATCGTAATGTCTCTCTAAATATAGTATGTCTAGAAGATGGTGTTTGTCCTAATGGTAATCTTTCTCCATTTTTATCTTCACTTTTCATTTTCTTTCATTTTTTTGGCACTGCACATTTCATCCATCGATTGACACAGTTAAAATTTTAATAAAGTAGTCACATCAAGATAAAATCAATCTTTACTTACGTGTCTGGTACTGTGCATCAGCTAGTCTCAGGGAGTAGCTGAGAGGCAACGTAATCACGGTGGCTAACACCGCCAAGAACACCATCGAGCAGCGCCGTTGAAGAACCGCCTACAATAGTAAAGCATACAAATCAAAGGTAGTGCCTAATAAAGTGTTTGCCCATATTGATAAGTGTACTGGACCTTCACTTCATTTTATCAATAGTATCCTTCGATGTGATATCCTACTGTCCGTTCCAGCATCTGGTACATTAACCAGGATCAATACATGTACAAAGAGTGGGGGAAAAAGTTATCCATTTGCGCTGTGTCTCCTCCAGGAATTTCAATATTTGACGATATGCTCTGATCATAACCCAATATGTTTGTTATCTCCCTTTCTGTGTTTCTTTCCCTCGTCTGTCTTTCTCTGTTTTTCTCCGTCTGTCTCTGTCTGTCTCTGTCTGTCTCCCTATTCTCGCTGCGCCTCTATATTTGAATCCCAGCCTCTCAACCTCTTTATTACCTGACTGGGAAGACTGACTTCATAAGCTCTAACCGAACCGGTATCTGCATTGTTGTCCGCTTGGTCACTACTTTTACGAGAGGGGAAATAACTAAAACGTTGCCCATTTTCCAAGTGTTGTACTAGAATGCACTACGTCATCTAGTCATAACTACATGCACATAGTCATTTGTACGTCTACGTGCGCGGTGTTCTACGAGCAGCGTTCTACGCGCTAAGTGCTGCTCTACGTGGTAGAGTCTACTTTGAAGTGCGTGCACGCAGCGTTCGAAGTGCTTAGTGCGCCGTTCAACGCACAACTGTGGGCTAAGACACGTTTGCATTTGCAATTTTGGGCAACAAAATGGCGGATACCCAGGTGCCAGCAAAGCTTGAACATACCCTGCCAACTGTACTGTAAATTGCTTGGCAGTACACGTAACTCAATCAACTGGTCGTACTATGCAGATCAAAGACAGAATGATGATCCACAAGAAGAGAACGGAAACTAAATTGTATACCAACGATATCCACAGCGCAATGATAGCATTGGCATGGGGAAATATGTTTTCCCTTTGTGGAGTACTTCCAAAAAAATCCCACTAATCCTTACGGAGAAAATGGTGATGACAATAAGCCAGATGCACACCTAATGAACGAAGATGTTGCGACATCGGCTGTAATTGGTAAAGAAAGTGTCTGCTCCGAACTTAGACTGCAGTCGTCAGTCAGTCAATGTTGGTAATAAAGTGTGCGCTATCAGTATTTCTTACCATTGTCTGGCCGAAGTCCACTTCCGTAGGACACGCTGCGGGGCTGCGAATACGTCTTCAATGACAATAGGCCACACTGGCGGTTCAAAACACAGATCGCTGCGCAAGCAAAATAGACCGAATCGGCAAAGAATAACGAAAATGTTATAGACACCTCTACTAAACACCGGTGCAAATTCTAGGAATGGCACGTAGTGGTTTTGAACGGTCAGAGTAGTTCTTTACCCAGATCAGTCTTGTAAACAGAGGGACGAGAAGGTGATATACTCTGAAGAGAAAGTTTCTGATGTCAACAGGACCTGAACGTTTCAGAGAATACTAACGAGAGCAGCTTCGTAGCTCGTTCTGTAGCTCTTTTGAAAGCGTGGTAAATGGCTTCGATCTGTCTTCCACGCTACATTCGCAAGTACCTTCGGGAACACCTACAGTACAGGCTACATGTGGTGTAAAGAACTACTTCAGTTACCATGGTTACCCGTAAAAGAAACTCTGTAGAGTACGACTCGTGCTAGCGGCCCTGATGCTGTCCTACATTCGTTGAAACACGAAGAAGCTGTTCAATATCCAACAGTGTGATATCAATAATAATAATTATTGTTAATAGTTACTTTGAGACACAGTACTGAGAAACAGTACTAGATAGTTGCTCATTAGGCCCTACAGATGTTCAAGTGCCGCAGGTTCCACACGGCCGGGGACGCCGCACACTGTCTACGTCACAGTATACGTCATTGTATGTTTACGTGTAGGTTTGCTCAACGACACGTACATGTGTGCATTGGCAATGTTGCGCAACAAAATGGCGGATAAAAAGGTGCCTACACAGCCTGAGCTTATCCAGATGATCTGAACATGGTGAACATTTTTTGGCACTTTTAACCACATGTAACTGAATCAACTGCTTGCCACTTTAGGTAGAGTATGGAAACTAAACCTTTACCACTAGCTAGCTTGTCAAGAACGCAATGATAGCGTTGACGTTGCTACAAAGGGTGCTTTATCTCTGCTGGTTGTGTAAATGCTGAGTAAATGCAATGCTTACCGAAGACAAATTGAAGAAAATGCGCAAAATGTCCACCCGAGGTTTGTAAAAAGCACATAGAAGAGCGTATCTTACTGTTCAAACTGATCTTACAGTCTTTGGACGCTCTGCAGGGCCGCGAACACGACTTCGAAGACAACGGGTGACACCGACTCGGCTCAAACAGCAGACTGCTGGGCAAGGAAATGAGAGCAATATCGGTAAAGAATAGCGATAACGGTGAAGCAACACCCCAAACAAAACTTTTGAAAGTAAAAGGAGTGACATGTAGCGGTGTTGAAACACTAGAATAGTTGCTTACCCAAATCAATTTTGTAAACAGGGAAACGAGAAAACAGTGTTCTGGAGAGGAAGTTTCTAATGTCTACAGAACGTGAACTGTTCAAAGATTGATAACGTGAACAGCGCTACAGCTCGTGTTATAGTTGGTTAGAAAAGCGTGGTGATTTGTCTGGTGATTTGTCTTCCTGGGGTTCGCGACTCTACATTCGCGTTGACCGTCAGTGAACCTACACAGCCAATTCGTCTACCAACCAGTAGGCTACGTTGCCTTGTGCGTTTGGGTATGAGTGCGCAGATTGGTTATTCATAGCAATAAGTATCTAATATTGACTGAGTACGAGGTCAATATAGGAAATAAAAGCCGAGTAAAAGACCGAGGCGAAGCCGAGGTCTTTTACGAGGTTTTATTTCATACTGACCAAGTACGAAGTCAATATTAGATTTATCACGACAAACAGTCCGTATTTCAAATTCCAGAACGATAACCTCATGAATCCCGGTTTTATGATTGCACAACCGTTGCACCACCACCTACTCATGCAGTGACAATGCTGCACTAGGCACCGTTCAACTGCGCAACCCCTAAGCAGTCAAATATAAGCAGTCAATATAGCCCTAAGGAGTGAAAGATGCAGGAATATTTGACTGCTTAGGTATGGCAAAAATCTATTTGAGTCAATACTAAGGGAGTGATAAGTACTATTATTCGCTGTGGTCTGGGTACTAGTAGTAGGTATTTTAGCACTCGTGGTACACGTAGACGTGTTGAGCAATCTTCGTACACTGCGTGTACACGTATCCCTCGTAACCCCTGAGTTATGTACTCCTATCACTATTTACCCACTCGTAGGTCGTCATACTGACGTCAGATGTAGAAACATTTTTGCAGTACAATAACAAGTACAATCGAGAGAAATCGAGCTGTGAAGTCAACTTCTTGCTCACTCACGCCAGCGATGCTTTTGACAACATGCCCTGCTATACCCGCTGACAAAAAGGAAGAGAGAGCGCAACAGGAACCTCGATGGGGTGAAGAAGGAATTATATTCTCTGATATGACTGTCGATCGCGGAGTTCAAATTTTAGTAAGTTGATATGAGAATTTCCCAACTTTTCGTACTTGTCGACAAAAACAAGACTTTTGCCTGCGGAAAGCAGAGCGCCAGCTAGGTCGGCTGCGCAGCGCAGAAGGTTCGAGCCTCCTTAAAAGGCAGAAAGCATCATAGCGTTCTCCGCGGGAATAGACTTACGTTTTCCATGAGGACAAGTGTTCCTCCTTGTGCCAAGTTGTGGATAGGCTTACGTTATTCTTAGGTTCAAGACTAAGTGTTCCCCGTGTGAGTATGGTGACGTATTCTCCTAGTCTGCAGTCGTCTGTAGCGCAAGCCATTTGCATGTACCACCACCACACTCCATTATTCACCCCAGTGTCGGGAGATATGTGGATTTTGTAGAGAAAAAAAAGAAAAAATGTACAGGTACATGTACATCACTATATGATTGTACACCCATTGTGACCCAATGCTGTAGACGCCTGCTGTGGACGCCTGCTGTTATTATTATTATTTTGTTTTACATCGGAAGCTCAACAGTGCAGCTGCACAAATATGAAGAGGCCGATGTTTCGGCCATATGCCTCATTTAGAAAAGCGATCCTGTCAGCTTTTCTATTATTGTTGTCACAATGTAAAAGCTAACGACACCGCTATAGACACGTTGTCTATACGTATCCAGCGAGTAAGAGTAGGACAACAGCTAGGTGGGGCCCGCCCTTGCACAAGAGGCGTCCCACAAGGCTCCGTGCTCGGCCCATTGCTATTTTGCATTTACACCCGTGATGCACCACAGTGCTTCCAACATGCATTGAATCAACTTTATGCCGATGATATCACACTCTATATCAGGCACGAGTCCATCCAGATCATCACAGCCCAGCTGAGTGCTGACCTTGCCGCTCTGGATCGCTACCTAGATCAGAAGGGACTGGTGTTAAACCCGTCCAAGACTCAGTTTGTCCTGCTCAGGCGACCGGGCACGGAGCTGCCACCTGGCACCGCAGTCAACTGCCGGGGCACTTCTATAGTCCCATCTGCTTACGCTCAGTACTTAGGAATACTGGTTGACGAACATCTGTCTTTCTCAACCCAAGTGGATGCAGTATGTGCAAATGTCAATAGGAAGGTCGGAGCATTTGTCCATGCAAAGCAGAATATCAGCATTTTTGGCAAACGACTTTCATTTTACCGATCATTCAGTCCACATTTGAGTTTGGCAGCACTGCATATATTCATTGCTTATCACAAACCCTATATGACAAGCTTCTTACTGCCAGCCGCGTAGCATTAAAGAGAATATTTTCGTTGGATAGAATGACTCCCACCACTCTTCTATACAGTCATACTAACTTGTACGCCCTTGAGAAACGCCTCAACTTCAAAACCTATGTATTTGTTTACCGCTGCCTGAATGGACTTGCTAGTCCTCTTCTGCGAGACCGCTTTACCTTGCGCGCCCATGGTGCTCGCACTGCAGCTACCACCCGTGGCCAAGTCTCTGCTGCTCTTGTTCTGCCCCCCGCTAACACCCGATATGGCTTTAGTGCAATTTCTTATTTGGGCGCTGCCAGGTGGAATACACTTCCACCGGCTTGCCGCATGTCTAGTTCACCAACTGTGACACAAGTATTCCTTACAAGTTCGTTAAGTGCTTGCGCAGTTTTTCCTGTTATTACCTTAGTGCTAGGATTATCATTTTCATAGGTGTTGTTTCTTCTCACTCCACTTCTCTTTATTAGCTGCTGAGACCTCCTTTCACGGAATATTACAGGGCTGTGGCTAAATATTGGGTGTATCAAATCTTTCCCCTTGCTTATCCATGTAGTAAGAGGTGAAACCATTTTTTTCTGAAAGTGCACATGCCTACATAGAATGGAAGAGAACAACAACAACAACATCATCAACAACAACAACAACAACATCAAGAGAACATAGGGGGCTACAAAGGGCGTGTAGGTGCTATTGAGATGTGCCGGTGAGGTGAAGTGCCCTCCCCCAACCAATGGTCTCGGGATCAAGGCGCACATCACGCACCATGACTGTTACCATGTATTATTCCTGGTGATCATTTGGGTGCTGGATGCTTATCATGGGAAGTGATATTCCTGCCTGCAGACAAGCTGTCACTGCTTCCACTCTGTGAAAAATGTCTTCATCTGAAACAGCTCAGAGTGTATTATAGCTTTCTTTCTCTAAAGTTATATTCACTCCTTTTTAGGGAAAGAAAGCTATATTCACTCCTTTTTGCTCTTGAGCTTGCGCATGGAGAGGTATAAATATATTATAACAAGGGACCGAGTGTATATCGAGAAATATAGACCAGTATAAAAACCGAGGCGAATACTTATAAACTTCATGGGAGATCTGTTATATGAGTGTGGGTGTATATGGAGTGAGGTACCTCACAAAACCAAACGAAGGGAAGGGAAATGTGCAAATGCAAGGCGAATGTGGGGCGAGGACACAAACAAGTGAAGGGAGCGAAAGCTTTCCATGGCGTGAGCGTGGTGGTGCAATTCTAACAGATGGATCAAAACAAAAACTTTATTACATATAGGGACGGAGCGAAAGGCAACAGAGAACACGCTCGAGCGTCTTGTTGGAGGCGAGGCACTGCCCAAGAAACGTACCAAGTACCAACATCGCGACACACGGCTGAGAGGACTGGCAAGCTCATTTGAAGGCGCGGAATTGTCCACAGCCTGTCATATCCAAATGTGTGAGGAGAATCCTGACAGAAATCCTTGTTTGTTTGCTTGATCATCAAGGAGCAGGAACTACATAGCTCAGCTCAACGTTGTTCAGAATCTCATAGCATTCTATTACCTTCAAGCACGTGTTATCTGATCCAAATCTCCACGATGTAATTGTTGATAGTTTACCATGATCCTTCTTTGCTTTCTCTGTTGCCGCCTCGCAACATGGCTATGTCCCTTCATTTTCATCTATGTTTTACCCCTGTGTGTGCACTGGAAACACCACTTCATCTAAATCAAAGTTCCTAATTAAGTAAGAGACAACCGGCTCCAGTGGTTGTCACCTTTCACCACTGCTGTCATTCACACTTTTACTTTTGGATTTGCCTCATGATGCAGTCATTCACGCTTTGCACTGCCGCCATTCACAACTTTTAGATTTGCGCCATGCTGCAGCTATTTACACTTTGCTTTGTGAGTATATAAACCAATACTGATCCAGATTTCTCACTACTGTTTTCTAATGATCGCTTAGTGCGTGAAACTCGGAGTAAAAACACTTTCTCTGTCCTCCTATTGTTTGAACCAGCTCTACCACTCGGTATTGAGCACTCTCTGGGACAGCCTGGAACCTCTCTGTTTTAAATCAAAGTTCCTGTAGGTATGAGGTGTTTCTGAAGCATGGCTTGAGTGGTTGTCCAACAGGCAGGGCGATGAAAAGACAACTCGTCTAAGGGGGTAGTCGACGAAAAGACCAGTCGTCGAACAAGGTTGTCGGTCAAAATGTCAGACGGCGAAAAAGGCTGTCGGCGAACGGGGTTGTCGTCGAACAGGTTTCGACGAACTGTCGTTCGTCCAACAGGTTGTCCGCGAACAGTCGTGACACCACTTTTCCGAACGAAAAATGCGAAAGTTCGCAATCCAGTTCGCGAACTGAAAAATGTTTGCGAACGCGAATTTCGTCTTGCTAATCCTCCGTATTATCCCCATATCCGATGACCAGGCAGGCACAGTGGGTTGGTCAAAGGCGTTTGGAAACGTCAAATTTGGCGTAAAACTCCAAATTTCGACGTTAGCAGCAGGTCAATCGCGTTGATTTTTCGACGTGGGAGCCAAAATAACGCGAGCTGAACTTTTGCGTCACGTCAGAAATAACGTGCATCTTAACTTCTCTAATGTCTTACTGTAGCGTGAACAGCAACCCCCTCCCCTTACTGTAGCGTGGACAGCAACCCCCCACCCCTGTCTTGAGTACTAGTAATCCTGATGCTCTGATACATGCCGAGGCTAGCTGTATGCTCAGTCTCCGGCTAGCAGTATGCTCAGTCAATACATTCTTGATCTTATCTGATCTTCTTTTTTTTAATGTTTTACTGCCAGAAGTCGTCTTCATATAAAGAGGCAGATATGCCTGTTTGTTGTACGACTTTAAATAAATCCAACCAACGACCATGTCCAGCCTGGGAGCGGTTTTTCCAGCCGTGCTGCTACCCACAGTCAACTGGGAACTTGTGGCCAGGCACAAGGGGTACATGGATGCAGCTAATTCGGTTTCTCTTCACTTGTGCCAGTGGTTGTAAGATTTATTCACTCACCCCCACCGTTAGGCGCTGCATCTGCCACTAGGGTTTACTGGGTGTTAGCGGCCGTCGTGTGTTCCCTTCGGGAACGGACACGATAATTTACTTTTTTTATCCGCTATCCGATGCAACATTAATGTTCGGTCCGCTTCTGTCTCTTGATGAAGACTACATGTATATGCCGGGTAAATGCATACTCGCTCATTCTCGCCTGCCTTCAAACTCATTTCAGAGAAACAGTAGATCAACGGTAGTTACGATAATGTGCATTCCGGGCCGTAGTGTGGAGCAGGCATACACGGCGTCAGGGGAAACGACTATAACGTCATCACCACCTGCCCACACTGCAGAATGAAGCCTTTGAAGGTCGGCGAGCTGAACTCCCGATACCATGGATACGCGGTGCCGACCGGCTGGTTCACACCGGGTCCTTGCGTTCAGATCAGGGGGATAGATTCACACCTCTTTATGGCACCTCCGACATGCCTCGCCCCAATACTACTACTACTCTACTACTGTAGTAGCGTAGAACAACGAGTGCATGTACTAATAATATCCTGGATGAGTTTACACGTCTCCGAGATGGGTTACAGAATCTAGAACTGAATGAGTAAAATGAAGGGCTTTTTTCACACATGTCTACCAAAGTTATACCGGTACGCTGCTACCACTAGACATCCAGCACCCGGGAACAGATTTTCATGGGCTCAGTCAGACGTTACAAATTACCACCACTCTGGTGCGAACTGAGGTCTGTCGTGAGGGGCGAAGGCGGTTCTGCAACACGGTCTATGCAGTGTAAGTAATGCGTTAGCTGTGTAGTGTTGTTTAGTGTAGTTTGAGCGGTGTCTCGTGCGAGACTTTAGCATCATGCGCCTTTTGACCGCCTTTTTCTCGATTATAATGAAGTGCAGCGGACCAGGAAATCTATTCTGATCCCTCAGTGCCGCCCGGCTGTCGAAAGATGATAATTATGTTTGCCGACTACGAGTCTTCAAAAAGTTGCTGCGGAAGAGAAAAAATGCAACCCGAGCGGAGTCCTGGAGACGGCGCTGCGGACCACAACTCGCTGTTCCTGGTATCAACTGGCGTGCTGGAGTGATGAAGCGACGCTAAAGAAAATGCGCCTGTCTCTCTTCAAGCCGGTGCACGTTGTCGAGGTTCTCAAGACGAGCTCGCTACGAAGCAAAGACGGCGGTGTACCGTACCGTGTGGCCGCGAGAAGACTGCTGAAATATTTCGAGCAGGGAGCTGACTACGGCACAACGAGGAATTCGTCCTCTCGAGAGTAACTAAGTAAGTTACTATTTTTTGTTGTGAACTTATAGAGAACATTGGCGCTGTCGAGCAAAACTAGTTGTGGACTATCTGACCTTGAAAAATGAACTTAGTAAAGCAGAGGTTCCTTTATCCTGTTATGGTTGGCCCTGTTTTCATTAACCTTCGAACAACATACAAACTTTACATCCGCTGCAAATTATTTGTTCAGTGAAAACAAATGACGTGTTGGGCAAACCGTCGAGGTGAAGTTCACCATAAACACGTTTATAGGCCATTCACACAACGCGCAAACTCACTTTTATCTTATCGTACCGTTTCTAAGGATATTTACTCGCATGCGATAAACTTGGGCACACGTGTGCAACTGACTTTTGAACTTGGCCGGGGCCTTTTTGTTCCCAATTATACTTTGCGCTCGACCAAAAGTGTCAGTTGGTGAAAGTGGGTGCAGATAATGCAGTTCGTTTACTTGCCTAAGGCAACCACTCGAGGGACGAAAAAAAGTGGTCACCTTGGCCAGGTGGTCTTTTTATCCACCCTCTCTATGGCGACCACTCGAGGGACGAGAAAAAGTAGTCGCCTATTATAATAATTATTATCATTATCCCACTGCACACACCTATGCTACTATAGCACTACTCCATGTGCCTGTGGGCCTGAGCCCGGTCAAGTAGTTGGGTCGCCGTTGGTCGGGTTTAGTGAGTCATCCACCATAATAGGAGCTTTTGAATGCTCTTTTTTTGGCCATGACAAGGAAAGGTGGTCGCCATGGCCGAGTGGTCGCCATAGCCGAGTGGTTGCCATTACAGGAAACACTGTACTATTTTTTTAAATTGAAAATTCGAAAATAGAAAATTTCAAGGCATTTTTAGGAGATCACTAGGGATACATTGGCGTGTGCAAAGTTTACCCAGCATCGTGTGAACTGGATCACGGTTTACGAGTGACGTCTTGTCACACGTGTGGATGTGTTTGCACGTCGTGCGAATTGCCTCAATAGTAAACCTGTGACCTAACGACCACCCGTTGGGGCCAGAGAAAGCGGTCTTTAGTGGCAAGTGGTCCTTAGTTAGAGGTTTGCGCTGCACAACCATGTATGAATGTGAGACCGTCAAGTGGTTTGTAGTACTACGCTGGTCGCTAGTAACAGTGGTATTTAGTCACAGGTTTTATTGTGATGACCTGACATAAAAAATGGTGGGATTTATGCTTTCTGTTCGTGATGCCAACTGTTCTGAGCTGGAGTTTATGTCAGAAGACAATTTGCCTACGCTGTGTGCCACTCTATACATAGCATTGTGGACGTGTGGAACGGCACCGCGGATTGCAGCGTCGTATACTAGTAGCTTAGACCTTGTAAGGCTCGCTATACAATCAAAACAGACAAATTATACGGCGTGACATCACTTGTGGTGACATGATCAGTGACAATACAAGTAAACACACACGGCAGAGGAGAGGGGGTTCTAGTACGAGCTTTCCCATCCCAGCTCGCAAATGACATTACTATTGAATCTCGGGGCGCGAACCTGATTCGTGGAGAAATTTCCCAAAACGAAAAGGAAAGAAAAGACTGCCACTGCTTGAGTTCCCTTACATCCACATAATATGCCCACATTCACAACTCCTCTCTATCATCTTGGGCTTATTCCGAGCAGCATGATTCCTTATGACCGGCTTTTGCGAATTTCTTGACAGAAGGTTCTTGTAAAATGCAATAATGAGAGATTTCTCAGGTGCTTGACCATCTGGTAAATCCGCCATGCAATTGGACTGCAACCGGAGGGACAGAGTGATGTTTGAACCCTTTTATCCAACAGTAGTGATGATGCTAACCTGTGTACACACGCTCACAGGCTGCATCCCCGCTGTTGTGAACCCTGCAAGATTCTCTAAATTGTCAGGATCGTACGACCACACTGCACGAGGACAACTCTTTTCCTTTACACAGTATATTTCACTTCATCTGATAATTAACAATGAACACTAATAACACCAGCTATTTATAGCATGCAAAAACAGCGTACATGCAAAACATAAGCAGATAAAACTGGACATAACAGCGTATACAGCAAAACGCACGCAACGCATATAGCGTATGCCATGCAGCAACATCAGCGGTACGGCGGAGTCGAAATACAACATTTCAACGAATACAATGCCATAAGCGCGAAGGCCTTTCCCAATTGAGAACTGGTGGTTTACAACATTCTCCCCACCAAAGGGCTTCTCACCGCCGTACAACAATGCACACAAGTCAAAAACGATCCGGGGCTCTGACTACGCGCCCAGAACGCGTTATCTCCTGCTGCCGTGGTGGTGGTAACGGTGCTGACGGTTCATACGCTGGCTGCTGAGGGACGATAGCAGGTTGAGCGGTATCTGCAAGCCCAGGAGCCATGTCCTGTGACGATACTTCTAACGGCACTAACCTTTGGATCGGCCTCAACAGGGTACTGGTACTCAACTTAACCTTGGCAACACGACGCTTACCATCTCGACCAGGGAATAACTCGATGATCCGTCCCAAACGCCAGAACTGTTTGCGCTTGGTATCATCGAGAACAAAGACAACATCACCCACAGCTAAAGGGCGCGACATGGTCTGTTGGTGTTTGTTCAGCTGACTTAGGTACTCCACCTCCCAACGATTCTTGACATGCTCCAGTGTCCGACTGAGGTAACGCAATCTCGATGACATCTGCGCAGCGTCCAGGGTACCTGCTGGCTTCTCTGACGACATCCAGATGTCACCCATCATCATTGCAGGGGTTAATGGTGGCTCATCCAGGCTATCAGACACATAAGTTAGCGGACGACTATTCACCACTGCTTCAACCTCATACAAGAGGGTCTCAAGCTCCTGGACCTTCAGAAACGCTGTTCCCATTACCTTTTTCAAGGCACTCTTCACTGTACCAACCATTCGCTCATAGAAGCCTCCATGCCATGGTGCAGCTGGAGGATTGAACATCCATGGCACACCCAGTTTGTCAGATGCCGCCTTGAACGTTGTAGCGTTGTCAGACCTGATCCGAGACGGCAAACTACGTCTCGCGACAAACTTCCGAAATGCCATCAAGAATGACTCGGTACTTAAACTATCGACCACCTCCAAGTGAACTGCTCTGGTGGTGGCACACACAAACAATGCTATCCATACCTTCGGAGATGACTCACCACGGCGCACGTACAACGGACCAGCATAGTCGATGCCGGTAGTTGCGAACGGCCTCTCGTGAACAACTCGGTCTTCCGGCAGCGGCGGGCAGACTTATGAGGCAGCCTTAGCCTTGTAGCGGCGGCATGTAACACATCGCTGAGTAATGTTGCGTAGCGCCCGTCGACCACCGATAATCCAGAATTTCTGACGGATGAACGACAAGACTCCTTCTACACCTTGGTGCATCCTTTCAACATGCATTTTCTCCAACAGCAACTCGGTCAGATGATGTTTGCCTAACAGGACTGGGTGCTTGGCTCCATACGCCAACTCGCTGTGCTGAAGTCGTCCCCCCGGCTCTGAGCACTCCATGCTCATCCAGAAACGGTGCAAGCTGATACACCTTCGACCCAGGCTTCACTGGTTGACCTTGCTTGATCAGCTCAAGATCCTCAGCGAAACATGCGGCTTGAACGATGCGGTACAATACGTTGTCTGCTGCAAAATAGAGTTCAGCACGAGGCTCAGTGTGCTTCCACTGCAACATCCGAGTCACCATGCCCTGTGCCCTCGACCATTTACTGAATCGGAGCCACCATTCCTTATCAGATTCTCGACTACAGGTGGTGGCTGACACTCGTACTTCTACACTGGACTCATCTGTAGCTGCGGGTGAGGATGCGGTGGGCCAGTCATTGGGCTCCGTGATCCAGGTTGGTCCGCCCCTCCAGAACGGACTACGGATCTGCTGTGCACTACTCCCACGCGACGGTAAATCTGCTGGGTTGTGAAGGCCTGGTCAATGGTTCCACACAATGCCGACCTTCTTCGATATCTCTTGGACTTGACTGACGCGGTTAGCCACAAATGTTTTCCATTTGTACGATGGATTACTGAACCAATGAACGGTAGTGAGACTGTCAGTCCAGCCATAGACTTACGTGACGGTCACACGCAGCTCCTTCACCACAAACTCAGCGTAGCGAGCCGCTAGACATACGGCTTGTAACTCAAGGCGGGCTAACGTGGGTGGAGACACGGGTACCACTTTGGCCTTGGCAAATACCAAGTGCGACTGTCCATTGACGACTGCATACAAACAACATCCAAACGCTTTCTCACTGGCATCGGCGAAGGCATGAAGCGCAATCGGCGTGTCAAGATTGCAGCAAATCCAACGTGGTATGTCAATGCTCACCACTTCGGCCAACTCTCCCCACCATTGCGCGCATGCGGCTGCGATGCCATCAGGCAACTTATCATCCCAGTCGCCTCCGACTTTCCAGGCTTGCTGTAGCAGTATCTTTCCGGGCACAACTGCCGGTGCTGCTAGACCTAGCGGATCAAACACTGACGCAACACACTTGAGGAGGGATCGCCGGGTCCAAACAGACTGTCTATCGGACTCGCCTAGCGCTGCTATGCTGAGCAAGTCATCACTGGTTTTCCATTTCAGACCGAGAACTTTATCTCCGGCCTCTGGATCGCACGGGATTTCGTTGCCTCGCCACTTGCGTAACTCCATGCCAGCATCCGTAAGCACACGCACGCTGAACTCTTGCATCTCCTTAGCTTCCGAGGCATTTGAGACACTAGAGACCAAATCATCAACGTAGAAACTCGTGAGCAAGAGATCAATACGATCTCGCTCTTTGGGTGCAGACAACGCCCGTAGCTCCTTCAAGTGATGCTGAATCACCGCAGTAAGCATGTATGGCGAGCAGTTTACGCCAAATGGCAGTTTCGTTAGCCTCCAGGTTAACAGTTCATCGCTGTCGCTTCGACCGGGCCACAAGAAACGCAGGTACGGACGGTCTTCGGGATTAACCGCGACCATGAAGAAAGCCTTGCGGATGTCCGCTTGCAGCGCGCTCTTATATTCACGGAACCGTAATAGCATACCTGCGAGACTCGGCAATAGCGACGGTCCAGGGTCAACCATGTCGTTCAACGACTTGCCATCTGGCGCCGGCGCCGAGGCATTGAACACCACTCTTAACTTCGTGGTTGCAGCGTGCTCGCGGAACACACCATGATGCGGTACATAGTACCCGGCATCGCTCTCACATGGCTCCAGCTCAATTGCTCCAAGCTCGCGGTACTCCCTGATCAGCACATCATCATAGAGCGCACGCTTCCCATTCCTCTTCAGCTTTTCAAGAAGCCGCGTTGCGATGACTCTAGCTTGAGCATAGTTATCCGTTGGGCGACGCTCATTTCGCCACAAGAGACCCACTTGGTACCCGCTGCCCTGGCGACATAGGGGGAAAGATGGCAGGTGCTGATGTTGTTCTGGAGGTTCATCCAACTGCCATAGTTTGTCGATGTGGGCTGTGACACATGACACGGTCACCGGCTGACTGTTTCGACTTGGTGCAGACGCTGGACCAGATAATACATTACCTATCTCTGGGTTCCACACCGTCTCACCATTAACTTCCTTCTTGCTGTGCAGTACCGCGTTGATATAGTCTGCACCAATCAGCATATGTATTTCGTCTGATGTCCCTTGTTGAGGCTTGTCACTCAGCTCTACTCCCCAACTGTGCCACTGCGCAATGGTCTGCGGACTTGCGCACTTCAGGTCCAGCTCAAGCGTTGGTTTCACGAACGCGCGTACCCGAATGCTAGCGGAGCTACCCTGGATCGTGATGGCGTACTTATCCATGCGCTGTTGGGTTGGTTCCGCGCCGAACGGCTTCACCTCTACATTTTCAACCCCAACGTGTTCTGCATCGATTGCTGACACCAACGCCTGAGAAGATCCATTTGATGGCAGCGTTCCCAACCCAAACAGTGTAACGTTGAAGCTTCAGATCAAGCAGCGGCCGCACCAGTAGCAGCACCAGAAACACCAGCAGGACCAGCAGCACTCTAGGTAACAGGTTCACGATGGCTGAATATCCAGAACAAGCAGCAGCCCTAGCAGCAGCAGAAGAAGAACTAGAAGCAGCACTAGCATTAATAGCAAGAGCAACCGAAGAAGTAGAATTAATGGCAGAAGCAACCGCAGCATTAATAGCAGCAGAAAACGCACCGTATCCTGACGAATACACGGCCATGGTGACATGGCCGTCAAACAACATGGGTGGCTTCGACAAGGAGGCTTTCATCACGCCTCCGGCCCCAGAATTAACGTGCCCAGTATGCAGGGGGGTGTTACGCCACCCCATGCGTGTGGTAAGGTGTGGCCATCATTTCTGCCACAGCTGCATCACCGAAGTCCTCAGGCACAATAAGCAGTGCCCAATGGACAGAGGATCGCTTTCTTGGAATGTGCTAGGAGACTTGGAGGAAGATGGAAGCGTGAAGGGCCGTATTGGAGAGTTAATAATTATGTGTGAGAGAAAGGTGGACGGCTGCACGTGGACAGGCCCGTTATCCTCGTACAATGCACACGTCACCCGGGACCATAGTTAAATGTACATGTACAGTCATGCGTGCATAATACATTCACCCCACCTTGTTTTTCAACATGTGTCCGTGTTTTTCAACATGTGTCCAGGGGACCCTGGACCTAAGTTTGGTCTTAATAAAAAGTTTCAATCTGTCAATCCTGGCGTGGTCGCCAAATGTTGCGAACCCTGCAAGATTCTCTAAATTGTCAGGATCGTACGACCACACTGCACGAGGACAACTCCTTTCCTTTACACAGTATATTTCACTTCATCTGATAATTAACAATGAACACTAATAACACCAGCTATTTATAGCATGCAAAAACAGCGTACATGCAAAACATAAGCAGATAAAACTGGACATAACAGCGTATACAGCAAAACGCACACAACGCATATAGCGTATGCCATGCAGCAACATCAGCGGTACGGCGGAGTCGAAATACAACATTTCAACGAATACAATGCCATAAGCGCGAAGGCCTTTCCCAATTGAGAACTGGTGGTTTACAACACCCGCCAACAATCTCTGCCAGACTTGGCGCATTGACTGGGGGATTTGTCACTTGAGTCCGGAGCCAGCTACAAAACAACGTGGAAAGCAAGCTGGATTCTTCTATCTGATTGGCCTCCAAAGAATGGTATACCTCCAGCATAATTGCCTTTCGTGAAATTCTTCCTGGCTTTCGTGGAGCTCTCCCTGTCAACACAAAAACTTTCCTTGAGTTTTAAAATCGGATTTCATTTTTGTGTCCCGAAAATTTCCGAGCATACAATCATTCAAACTCGGAGACTTTGAGCCAGTCATACAATCGTTCATCAGTCATTTACAACCCTCTCTCTCTATCCATCTCTCCAGACCACATACTGTTGTGATGATTGTGGAAGTTGTGCCTGTATACAAATGCTGTCTGTATTTTGTGTATTTCACTGCAGTGATGATTTGACAGAGTGATGTTGCTTCTGCTGGGGTCTGGGAGCACCGTGAACAAAATCGAACAAGTAGTTCTTTTCCAGCCGATAAATTAATAGATTACATCGTGAACTGCTACACCGTGTCGTCACAGTGATATCGACGGTGTCATGGCAACACAACAACATCGTGTTCACAGGTAAAGTTTTTTGTTTTTGTTGTTAGTTATTTGATTTTAATAAGCGAAAAATTATACTGTCCTGCAGAGAACACAATAGTGCTTGAAAGGAAAGTTGAGGAAATCTTCTATTGCCAGTCCGGCTCCTGGCGTTGGTCTATGCAGTTCATGCAATCACTGTGCAAATGAAGTTGGTTGCTCCAACACGAGCTGCCTGCCAAATTTGACACTTGGCTGACTTACAGCGGCCATACGAAGCACGGGAGGAGCTCGTCCCAAAATCCACCCACCAAATCGGCAAGAAAGTTCATTTTCTATTAAGTCAGCTGTGTAATTTTTCGTTGGCCATATGAAGCCAATGCACACTTGCATAGTATGTATTGTGTCGATGGGGATGACGCGACAGCCAGCCATGGCAGTAAGCAAAAAACAACAATGCAAAATAAAGCGAATTACAAGAGGCAATACCCTACACAGGGCGAGGCAAAGAGAAGTTCAGCTCATCTTCCCCGGTATGCGATAGTTTGTCCAGTTCTAGCCCAACAATTTCCCCACTAAACCATGCTCTATCGTCACTAAAATAAATGTGTTCACCAAATTTTCGGCCATGAACCATCATCAGTTGAAAACGGCACATCAGTACCCTCAAGAGGACATAACCCCCAAGAGTGTGTAACTGCCTGCACAGCCTCAATGCTGTGCTGCGACGGCGGAACTTCACATCACGTGACATGGTTCAAAAGGTTACGCTAGCAAACAGTGCAAAGTGACCACAAAGAGTTGAGAGCCCAAAGCTGGGTTGCGTACAACCCTGTATAGAGTGCAAATTATGTGTACGGGTTAAAGGGGAAGTTAAGGCAAAAATTAAAATTTCACCAGTTGTAGTCTTCGGGGTGCTGAGTCGAATGGTCGTGGTCCGAGGAAGCTGAGACGCTCCCTTCCTACTTGAATCCCAATCGAACTCGCGCAATTCCACCGAAACTGGGTGACTGCGCCCTACTAGATGGGGATTTGTATGCAAAATGTCACTAAAAGTGCCATTTCCTTCTTATAAAAGCACGGATGACCGCGATTGGCCCATATGTTGTAGTCTTTTGGACGCTGAGTCGACTGGTTTTGGTCCGAAAAGGCTGCGATGCGGCGTTCCTGCTTTATTCCCAATCGAACATGGTTGAAGAAGCGGTCACGTGCTCCTGCGTACACTAGTCACCTGGTCACCGTGCCTGCAGGGTACAACTTACTAGCCTGTTTGACCTTTTTTGGGTGCAGTCCTGTCACTCGAGTTGAACTCGAGTTGAACCTTGGTGTGAAAGTTGTCACCTGCTGGCGTGGTGACCAGGTGATTTGGGCACCCAGGAGCACGTGACCGCTTCTTCAACCATGTTCGATTGGGAATAAAGGAGTAACGCTGCATCGCAGCCTTTTCGGACCAAAACCAGTCGACTCAGCGTCCAAAAGACTACAACATATGGGCCAATCGCGGTCATCCGTGCTTTTATAAGAAGGAAATGGCGCTTTTAGTGACATTTTGCATACAAATCCCCATCTAGTAGGGCGCAGTCACCCAGTTTCGGTGGAAGTGCGCGAGTTCGATTGGGATTCAAGTAGGAAGGGAGCGTCTCAGCTTCCTCGGACCACGACCATTCGACTCAGCACCCCGAAGACTACAACTGGTGAAATTTTAATTTTTGCCTTAACTTTCCCTTTAATCACGTCATGTGAAGTCCTGCCGTCGCAGACCCCATAGCTGGAGTTGCACACTCTTGGGGGTTATGTACTCTTGGTACCCTGAGACATGTAAATGGCTGTAATGGAGTTGTATTGAATCTTTACCCTTTGTCTTTAAAAGTTTTTGTGCGTGTGAGAGCAGATATCGCAACTGTGTTCATGAGATGGCAACTTGAGCGCCATGCTTGTTTCGTCACTGAGAAACTTGCAAAGCCTGCTGGTGAGCTGGGGCTGACCAAAATGGAGGGACCGGTAGCGCTTTCCTGGAACGGCATTCGCAAATGTTGGCAGGCCGGTTGCGGAGAGGCTAACAACTTAGAGTTGGCTCTTGAGCAGACAATGTGATACGGACCAGTCGAGGCACGAGCGATAACCTTATACTCGCTGTTGAGATGGTCACACCAATCAACAATATTGTGTCTGCACCCATCTTGCTCTGCCGAGAATGCTGGGAGGGTAATGCAGAAGAGCTGCTGGGTAGTTGGATACGGCGGATACGCAGTATCCACATCTTGGAACATGCCGGCGATCGAGCGGGGGCGTGCGGCTGTGTGAACGCCACGGTGCATTGTGCCTCCTTGAAGAGGTGTTGAGATGCTGCCTGGGCCGGTACTGATGCCAGTCGAAATGACCAGGACCTACCCCTTGTGGGGAGGGGAGTTGCTTGCTTGCGGCTATTAGCTGCCAATCGAACAGTATGAATGTCATGACTGGCTGCATCACCCCTTCTTCTCCTCGGTATGTACAATGGTTTGGTGGCTTACTAGTCACTGTTGTATGTATGCCACGCAATTGGGAGCCCCCTGGACCTTGCAAACGTACAGAGCATCTTCTCCTAGGCTGGCATGTATACCACGCAATTGGGAGCCCAATGGACCTCTCAAACGTACAGAGCATCTTCTCCTAGGCTGGCATGTATACCACGCAATTGGGAGCCCCCTGGATGGTGCACACGTAGAGAGGATCTTCTCCTAGGCTGACATGTATGTCTGCGAACCAATTGGGAGCCCTTCTGGACGGTTCTCCTGGGCTGACGTGTAACCAATTGGGAGCCCCCTGGACGGTGCACACGTCGAGAGAATCTTCTATGCTGACATGTATGGTTGCCAACCAATTGGGAGCTCCCTGGACGGTGCACGCGTAGAGAGCGTCTTCTCCTAGGCTGATATGTATGTCTGCGAACCAATTGGGAGCTCCCTGGACGGTGCACACGTAGAGAGCGTCTTCTCCTAGGCTGACATGTACGTCTGCGAACCAATTGGAAGCCCTCTGGACGTTGCACACGTAGAGAGCATCTTCTCGTAGGCTGACATGTCTGCGAACCAATTGGGAGCCCTCTGGACGGTGCACACGTAGAGAGCATCTTCTCCTTGGCTGACATGTATGTCTGCGAATCAATTAGGAGCCCCTGGACGGTGCACGCATAGAGCATCTTCTCCTAGGCTGACATGTAGGTTTGTCTGCCAATCATTAGGAGCCCCCTTCTAGGCTGACATTGGAGGCATCTTCTCCTAGGTAGGTGTACCCCCTTCGTGGGTTGCTGACACATGCCAGAAGAATGTCAGGACTGGCTACATCACACATTCTCCTATGTAGGTACACTGTCTTGGTGGATTCCTGACACAAGTCACTGTTAACTCAACTGAGAAAGTAACACGCATGCACACATACGCACACATGCACACACACACACACACACACACACACACACACACACACACACACACACACACCAACGCAGGGGATACATATGCGCCATCAAACTGAGCAGAAGAGAACCCGCGCTTTGGCAACTGTCGTCAAGAAGTCGAAGACGGACGCCTACGTACACCAGTGATGTGTATCTGATCACTATCTACAGATGCAATACCCTACTCAGCCCTACTGCAGTGACTGCGCCACCTTGATAGCGCACACACCCTTGCTACATCTTGAACCATAAGAAACCGGAAGAAGTTTCAGCTTCTTCTCCATTGCTCCGGATGAATAAAAAGATGGTGTGTGCCTTAAACTGTCTCCGCACACCTCCTTCTCGTTACGTTTGATATACATGTAACTTTACCCTGCAATCAAATCTCCAACTAAACTTCTGCATATCAGCTAACGCACTAATAGCATTGTACGAAACATCTTGGGACGAGATTCTTCTGTCTCTCAAAGAATGCCATTTCTCAAGCACACCTGGAATGCGCACTCCAACAGCCTTCCAACTTGGAAAGTTCTCAAGCAGTTGTGCCTTTTGTGGAGCTCTTCTTGTTCACACCAACAAGTTTCCTTGAGTTCTAAACATCGCATTTCTTTTCTTCTCGTGAAAATGCCTGAACACCCAATCTTTCATCGGTGGCTTACGACCCTGTCTCTCTATCCATCTACAGTCCACACACTGCTATCTCCGGGCCACACACTGCTGTGATGACGGTGGTATTTGTACCTGTATACAAATGCTGTCTGTATTTTGTGTATTTAACTGCACTGATGATATGGCAGAGTGAGGTTGCCTCTGGCGGTTCGGGAGCACCGGCAGCAAAGTCATCCCAGACCATGGACAGGAGCCGTCCAAGATCGACCAAATTTTGTCCTTTACCAGGTGGTGAATTCCGCCTTGTACAGCTACAGCAAGACGCGTCGTCACAGCGGTTGTCAACTCGACACACACCTCAACTGGTAAAGTTGTTTGTTGTTTTTGGGGTTGGGGGTTTGGATTAGAATCAGCACATGGTCTCTACTGGCCATGTTGAGAACAAAATTAGAGGAAACTTAGAAAATCTTCTTCTGACAATCTGACTTTCTGACTCCTGATTTTTGTCTATTGCAGTTTCTTCGATGTGTCAATTGGTTGTTTGGCCTGGCATTCACATTTGAAGCCATTGCACGTTATAATGTAATCTGGCCACTGCTGCCCAAAAGGCCGTGGCCGAGGGGTCAGGGCCCTTCCTGTGAAAGTGTAAACACATCAAGCCGAGTCCTGCCGCATTTGCCACCGTCACAATATAAAATGGGATATGCCGAAAATAATCCCAGTGCATATGAAGCATGGATGCAGTGAATGGGATGTTCGGTCTTTGACCACTTTGGTGGGTCTGATCTCCTCACCTCTTTTTTATATCTCCAGACACTGGGGTGAATGATGGAGTGTGGTGGTGGGGCCCATTAAGCTCCGCCGACCAGAGGTCTCGGCTTCATAGCTCCATGGACCTCTCCCATCGCTTCAGGAGCTGCATCTGCGCCTTGATCCTTGAAGGGTGGTGGCCTGCCTATGGATGCGGAAAACTCGGCCTCTAGCCGAGTCTGACGAGAACCGTGATTTTTTTAAATATCCATGTGTGGGTGATGAGGCGGTAAAGAAAGCGATTCTACCAAATAGCTCGACTCTAGTAATAAACCAGCCAGAACAAAATCGATACTACTCATTCCATGAATGCTGGGCCGTCTTTGACCTGGGCGTCCGTGTTCATGTTTTGCCCGCCGTACAGCATATCCCACAATTTAATTTTTTTAATTCCACTGAAACGCGAAAAGAAAAGTCTTTCAAGAAACTACTGCTTGAGGATAGACAGAACAGTCGTCATCACCAGAGTTAGTTTTACTGAAGTCATTGTGAAGTGTCAATGTATGTAGGAAGATAGCAGTGGTGGTATGTAAAATGTTAATGGAGACGTTTATTGGAGTTGGAGACGTGTGAAACGTTATAAATATGTATGGGGTTTACCGCCTAGACCGTCGTCGGTGTTCACGTATGTTTAGCAAAAATCGAAATTTTCTCCATTAGGCTTTAAAGCGATGACCACAGAAGTCTATTTAGAAATTTGTAACATGGAAGTTGTGGGCACAAGTTATACTAAACCAGATTTTGAACAGTCTCGGTACTTCTTGTCAGTTGTGTGCTAGATTGTGCACGTCTGACTGTTCAAAATCTGTGGTTTTGTTGGTGGACTCGATCGCATAACTAGTGCCCACAATTTCCATGTTACAAATTTTGCTATCTAGAAATATTACCTTTGTTTCCATTCTACCCATGGAGAAGTATGGGACATGATGGGAAGACCCCTTGTGTCACAGGTAGATGGTAATATGTCTCTGTATGAGGAGTGGGTCCCTGCTGGCAGAGCCCATTCCAGTCCCAACCGCCGGATGTGTTGCTGTGAAGGAAAACCACCCAAATGTGCATGGATCGATAAACTCAATTCGCAGATCCAACAGTCCAATTCAGTGCTTTGGAGGCAAAACCAGGCCGAAATCCTCTTGTTAGGGCTTGCCCTTTATGACTTCAAAAGACAATTGGAAGAGCATTCCATGGGGGATTGCCAAGAAAATTGTGACAAGAACTCAAAATTTGACCCATTTATGGCCAAAAGCTAGGATACCATCTTTTCTGAATGGACTGTAGTCAAAACCACTATTTGAAAGAACCGGAAGTTACAACAATCCCCCAAAACAGATGAAAAGCAGAACAATGGAGAAGGCAATTGCAACTACACGCCACAATCCTCGAAGCAGCAATTACACAGAAGATGGCATTCGTAACGGACAAAAACAAAAACCGTACTTTCCCAACTGAGCAAGACATCTAGACACCCGACAGTATGCGACATGCATGAACTTGCAGACTGCTTAGTGCGATAGGACACTCTGCAGCCACGCAAACAAGTGATTCACCAACGAAGGAGTGAATGATAAACGACAGCGCAAATGATTCAGGGCAAGGGAGAATGTTCTTCTCCAGGATTAGGCTTACGAGAGATTTCAAAAAGAGGTTCACTCTTTACCAGCCATGCCATTCGTCGCAAATACAAGCGGGCTTAACCTTCCTCTATCCACTGTATTTATTCTTTCCCCATACCGCCACTTCTTCTCGCTTGCATTTCACTCCAATTGGCTCATGGAACGCGATAGCAGGCTGACCCAAGGGTGTGTCACCCGGATATCGAAGAAGGCGTCCTACTGCCGCGTCCAAAAACCACGAGCCCGTATGTCCGCACGAGCCTCGGCAGAGCGATTTGCCGTCACCCCACTCAGCAGCTCTGGCGCAATATGCAATGCCGGCTTAGAATCAATAAAAGATGTTCTTGCTTCCGCCACTCTCCTTTGGAGGTCTTTCCCTTCCACATTGTGGCAGTACCTCTGGCCTCGGAATTGTGTGTGGCCTTCCGAGGTCAAAGCCTTCCCGCTTTTTCCACAAGTCTATACTTTTCTTTCTACGAGGACAGCAGAAGAACAGGAAACAAAAAGAAACTGGGCACTGCATGTAATACCAGAACATGCATATCCTGTATGCTACTGTAGAATGTCTTTTCGTAGTCTGAATGAATGGATGAGTGTATGAATGAACATGTACGCAGTCTGATGCGGTAGACACTCACAAGCTGGAGCGACGGACGATTGGGTGTAGATCGTACAGTTATGCTGATCTCTGCATGTGCCGTATGCCTCCGATGGCTGGTCCTTGGCATAACCGGTATCACACTTTACAGCAGAGCTCCTGTACTGTGTAAGAAAATCTGAACGATCTGAACCCTGTGTACGAGCTTGTCGGAAATCGCGAGGCTCGGGTGAAAACGTACGTGGACGACTGCTCACGAGTCGTTGATTTTCCAACACAATTCTGACTCGTTCAGCCACTCGTTCGACAAGTTCGTCTTCGTCAAATTTCGGAGGTGCGCGGATCTGTGACACGGACGCGAATTCGGAGTCCGCAGTTGCGAGGACTGCACTCTATTTCTGCAAGTTCGTTTCCACTACCAATGCGTGACGCTGCGCGGCTGTTGGTGGATCAAAATAGATATCTTTATCTTTTATCGGCGAATCTAGTGCATCAATATTATGCTTCCTTGGCAATATCGTCAATGACCTCCGATGTCGCCGAAGGATACGCGCGAGCAGTCATTAATCGAATATCGGTTGCGAGTTTGACCAAACACTCGTTTGGCGATCGTCTGCGATGGCGCAATTTAACTCCGACGAGTTCTCTTTGGGCAAGAAATGGTCAGACAAAGCAGCCCGGCTGGCTCAGTTGGATGAGACTCTTAATCTCAGGGTCGTGGGTTCGAGCCCCACTTTGGCCGCCAATGTTGAGAGTATTTCACTCGACCGACTGACGATCTTGCCTAGAACTCATTTTGCTCCGTCTGCTGTCCCGTCGTCCGTTGTGAAATACTCAACATTATGATAGAATTGCAATCTTCAAGTGCATGCTTGTTACTACTTATGACATTACATCGCTTTGTCCCAAAAATTCGTGAACGCTCCGTGGCTTGAGTATCCGAGCTGTTCTGTGGGTCCACTGAATTGGCAGGGATGGACGGATGCCGACTAGAATGTACACTAGCTTTTGCTGGACGGAGCTGAGTAGGTGCTCCTCATCAGATAGTTTGCGCCTAGACCGTTCTTCACACATCGCCTTCTCGTTACCCGGACATAACGTTGCCCTTCAATCAAATCTGCAACCGAAAGTCTGCATACCAGCTGATGCACCGGATTTTGGTACAAATGGCTGTGCAGCCATCTCACCGCCCTTGTCTCTGTATGTATGTATGTATGTATGTATGTATGTATGTATGTATAACTCATAATCACAAGGTGATCGTAGAGGCATTAATCAGCGAGAGAATTGTGAATGATGTCTCTGAATCCAACTCTATCGTGTGCTGCATGAGAGAGAGCATGCATCCTTGTCTCTTAACGAATGAGATTTCTCAGTCATTATACCTCTCAAAGAATGATTTTATTTTTAAGGCACTATACGGTAATATTATTACGTTGTACTCAGTGTGTGAGCAGCAGCAGCTTCCGGCCTGTTTTCAATGTGCTGGAGGTGGGATTGCCTTATTAGAGAGGTGCAGATGCACGTCATTTCTGACGTGACGCGAAAGATCAGCTCGCGTATCTCGCGTCGAAAAATAACGCGAGTGACCTGCAGCTCACAGATTTACGCCAAATGTGAAATTGCGCGTCACGTCAGAAATAACGTGCATCTTAACCGCTCCATTATAATTACATGTGGAGATGCTCTCGTCAACATCAAGAACTTACTCGAGTTCTAGCCGTCAGATCTCTTTCCGTCTGCTGAGAATTCCTGAAACTAAATACCCTAGTAAGCTGGTCTAGGTTTATCCAGTGTATTGTGGTGCAACCTTCTCTGACCATCTCCGGACCGCACACCGGTGCATTTTCTGTGGACAATTGTGCTGGTAACATTAGGTGTGTGTCCGCCCTCGCGCCAGTGCTTTCTTTCTTTTGTCCACTTTTAAACTTCAGTGACGGTACGACTGAGTGATGTCCCTTCTCTGCGTGGAAATGTGTATAACTACTTCACCTGTCTCTCGGATAATGGCGCGGATCCGGGAGCAATTGTGGTAAAGGCACTTTTCACCATGGTGAAGTGCTCAAGACATTTACCGGGATCCAGGTGAGAAAGACAGTCGGCGTATTCTGGCCGCCGTGCGCTAAATTTGCTAAGGCCTGTGATTGCGAGCGGGGTGACAGCAATGCATGCATATTCAATTATAGACATGATGTGTTTTGTAATTGAGAGAGTGATTGAGTTGATTTGAGCCTATTCGTTCATCCCCGAGTAATCGTACAGTACCATTTTTTTAAACATGAATATCAACGGACTTTCCCCTTCTGTTCACGTCTTGCCCCGGCCTAGTAATGGTTCGTGAATCCGCCCAGTCCACTTTCCTTCTCTGTTCTTCCCTTTCAGTTGCATCTTCCTTTCTGCTCAGTTTTACTTTCTCTTTTCGCTCGTCCCTCTTGATATTTGTACTTCGTACTGTTGAGGTAAAGAACTGAAATAATAAAAACCAAACCAAACCCCCATTCTTCCCCTACACACAAAGCAGTGTATATTTTGATCTAATTTCATCCCTTTTTGGTGTACATAGCCGGCTACATATCCAAACCAAATAACTAGGCGCCCCATACATAAGACTAGGTTCTACTTGACTCCTATGTGTAATGTGTATAATGCAAATCGGGGATCAATTTACCGTCATGTTTTTGCATAGCAGTTTTCGTCATGCAAAATCTCAATTTGTGGCGAAAGCTACAAAAAGCATGGATAGCATGTACATGTATGTATGGCAGTTTTCTGCGTGTCACTGTGATTTTTGAGTAGCAGTAGATCGATTTTGCGTATCAACCTGCGATGCGATACAGGATAAATTCATCCCTGCAAATGTACGGTATTATTGTGCTGTTGCCATTTTTCAATTTGTTTCTTATTGAAACCTACATTGCTCAATCGAGTCAATTCCCATCTTTCTATGGTTTGTTCTGATCATGAATCCACGTCGACTCGCATGATGATGATGATGATGATGATGATGATGATGATGATGATGATGATGAGGTCTCCACTCTTGCAATAATAATTATGACTGGTTAAAAATGCCTTACAATCAAGACGGGTGTGAGTGTCCGCGAGATACTGCGCCAATCAGGGAGTCGTGTGTAACAAGTTAGCACACAGCGTTATTGTTGTTAGTTGCATTCACACCTTTGTGTCTAGTGCTATAGTTCTATGGTTGCAGTTGCACTCCTAAAACTCACACTTGCTGTTGTGTTCTCTCACAGGTCATGCATCATGCTGTTACTAGGCATTGGCAGATAATGCTCGAAAAGGTGGCAGATTCTGCTCGAAAAGCAGTGAAATTGGCAGAACCATACGAACCTTGTGGCGGGCAATGCCTCGAATTCTGCTCCATTTCTTTATCCACATACCCAACATGCATGAAACTTACCAGAAAAAGTACAGAATTCTGCCATTTTTTTCTTCCGGAAATATCCGCAAAGGCCTAGCTGTTACACCTTAGCCTAAGGCTTAGGACCGGAAGGTTGTGTTGTGTCTACATGGACAGTCTTTCATACTGGAGTTCAAGTAGCCAGAACTCTTACAAGGTAGATCCGGTGTTTTACAACTCTCTTGACCCAATGGCCCATGCAGCCATTGCCATGACTACAGATGGCAAGGAACTGCATCTTGCTTGGCTCGTATTGTCCACACGCAGGTGCCAGGCATTACAACCCCTCTCCTTGCACAGTACAGTATAACCTGTCAAGGCGACCACTCGGATAATGCGACCACCCTTGCTAGAGAACCAGTGAAACCTGGACCAATAGATGCTATGTCCAGTCACCTGACCCTGGATAAGGAGACCACCTGGTTATAGAGACCATGTTTTGAAGGTCCCTTGAGCGGTCGTCTTAGACAGGTTCCACTGTACTTGTACTGCTTGTAATTATTATTATTATTATTATTATTATTTGGAAAGGATTGGGAGAACTTCATATTCAAAGGATCAGTCGGGGAAGTGAACTGCCTGAAAAGAGAAAAAATACGCCAGACCCACCAGGACTCGAACCTGGGACCCTGCTTGTCATGAGCAATGCTCTAACCACTGAGCTATGGGACCAGGCTGAACCTAGAAGGCGCTGACAAGTTGTTCACTCCAAAGGCAGCTCACAACACGTGCCACACATACTGATGGCACTTGGGTCTTTTTCCCTCCCCCAGGGGACCAACCACGGTCAGTTTCTGGAAACTACCAGAGGTGAAAGAAAGTGATTAATTTTGGAAAGGATTGGGAGAACTTCATATTCAAAGGATCAGTCGGGGAAGTGAACTGCCTGAAAAGAGAAAAAAACGCCAGACCCACCAGGACTCGAATCTCGGACCCTGCTTGTCATGAGCAATGCTCTAACCACTGAGCTATGGGACCAGGCTGAACCTAGAAGGCGCTGACAAGTTGTTCACTCCAAAGGCAGCTCACAACACGTGCCACAAATACTGATGGCACTTGGGTCTTTTTCCCTCCCCCAGGGGACCAACCACGGTCAGTTTCTGGAAACTACCAGAGGTGAAAGAAAGTGATTAAATTTGGAAAGGATTGGGAGAACTTCATATTCAAAGGATCAGTCGGGGAAGTGAACTGCCTGAAAAGAGAAAAAATACGCCAGACCCACCAGGACTCGAACCTGGGACCCTGCTTGTCATGAGCAATGCTCTAACCACTGAGCTATGGGACCAGGCTGAACCTAGAAGGCGCTGACAAGTTGTTCACTCCAAAGGCAGCTCACAACACGTGCCACACATACTGATGGCACTTGGGTCTTTTTCCCTCCCCCAGGGGACCAACCACGGTCAGTTTCTGGAAACTACCAGAGGTGAAAGAAAGTGATTAAATTTGGAAAGGATTGCGAGAACTTCATATTCAAAGGATCAGTAGGGGAAGTGAACTGCCTGAAAAGAGAAAAAATACGCCAGACCCACCAGGACTCGAACCTGGGACCCTGCTTGTCATGAGCAATGCTCTAACCACTGAGCTATGGGACCAGGCTGAACCTAGAAGGCGCTGACAAGTTGTTCACTCCAAAGGCAGCTCACAACACGTGCCACAAATACTGATGGCACTTGGGTCTTTTTCCCTCCCCCAGGGGACCAACCACGGTCAGTTTCTGGAAACTACCAGAGGTGAAAGAAAGTGATTAAATTTGGAAAGGATTGGGAGAACTTCATATTCAAAGGATCAGTAGGGGAAGTGAACTGCCTGAAAAGAGAAAAAAATACGCCAGACCCACCAGGACTCGAACCTGGGACCCTGCTTGTCATGAGCAATGCTCTAACCACTGAGCTATGGGACCAGGCTGAACCTAGAAGGCGCTGACAAGTTGTTCACTCCAAAGGCAGCTCACAACACGTGCCACACATACTGATGGCACTTGGGTCTTTTTCCCTCCCCCAGGGGACCAACCACGGTCAGTTTCTGGAAACTACCAGAGGTGAAAGAAAGTGATTAAATTTGGAAAGGATTGGGAGAACTTCATATTCAAAGGATCAGTCGGGGAAGTGAACTGCCTGAAAAGAGAAAAAAACGCCAGACCCACCAGGACTCGAATCTGGGACCCTGCTTGTCATGAGCAATGCTCTAACCACTGAGCTATGGGACCAGGCTGAACCTAGAAGGCGCTGACAAGTTGTTCACTCCAAAGGCAGCTCACAACACGTGCCACACATACTGATGGCACTTGGGTCTTTTTCCCTCCCCCAGGGGACCAACCACGGTCAGTTTCTGGAAACTACCAGAGGTGAAAGAAAGTGATTAAATTTGGAAAGGATTGGGAGAACTTCATATTCAAAGGATCAGTCGGGGAAGTGAACTGCCTGAAAAGAGAAAAAAAACACCAGACCCACCAGGACTCGAATCTGGGACCCTGCTTGTCATGAGCAATGCTCTAACCACTGAGCTATGGGACCAGGCTGAACCTAGAAGGCGCTGACAAGTTGTTCACTCCAAAGGCAGCTCACAACACGTGCCACACATACTGATGGCACTTGGGTCTTTTTCCCTCCCCCAGGGGACCAACCACGGTCAGTTTCTGGAAACTACCAGAGGTGAAAGAAAGTGATTAAATTTGGAAAGGATTGGGAGAACTTCATATTCAAAGGATCAGTCGGGGAAGTGAACTGCCTGAAAAGAGAAAAAAACCGCCAGACCCACCAGGACTCGAACCTGGGACCCTGCTTGTCATGAGCAATGCTCTAACCACTGAGCTATGGGACCAGGCTGAACCTAGAAGGCGCTGACAAGTTGTTCACTCCAAATGCAGCTCACAACACGTGCCACACATACTGATGGCACTTGGGTCTTTTTCCCTCCCCCAGGGGACCAACCACGGTCAGTTTCTGGAAACTACCAGAGGTGAAAGAAAGTGATTAAATTTGGAAAGGATTGCGAGAACTTCATATTCAAAGGATCAGTAGCGGAAGTGAACTGCCTGAAAAGAGAAAAAATACGCCAGACCCACCAGGACTCGAACCTGGGGCCCTGCTTGTCATGAGCAATGCTCTAACCACTGAGCTATGGGACCAGGCTGAACCTAGAAGGCGCTGACAAGTTGTTCACTCCAAAGGCAGCTCACAACACGTGCCACACATACTGATGGCACTTGGGTCTTTTTCCCTCCCCCAGGGGACCAACCACGGTCAGTTTCTGGAAACTACCAGAGGTGAAAGAAAGTGATTAAATTTGGAAAGGATTGCGAGAACTTCATATTCAAAGGATCAGTAGCGGAAGTGAACTGCCTGAAAAGAGAAAAAATACGCCAGACCCACCAGGACTCGAACCTGGGACCCTGCTTGTCATGAGCAATGCTCTAACCACTGAGCTATGGGACCAGGCTGAACCTAGAAGGCGCTGACAAGTTGTTCACTCCAAAGGCAGCTCACAACACGTGCCACAAATACTGATGGCACTTGGGTCTTTTTCCCTCCCCCAGGGGACCAACCACGGTCAGTTTCTGGAAACTACCAGAGGTGAAAGAAAGTGATTAAATTTGGAAAGGATTGCGAGAACTTCATATTCAAAGGATCAGTAGGGGAAGTGAACTGCCTGAAAAGAGAAAAAAATACGCCAGACCCACCAGGACTCGAACCTGGGACCCTGCTTGTCATGAGCAATGCTCTAACCACTGAGCTATGGGACCAGGCTGAACCTAGAAGGCGCTGACAAGTTGTTCACTCCAAAGGCAGCTCACAACACGTGCCACACATACTGATGGCACTTGGGTCTTTTTCCCTCCCCCAGGGGACCAACCACGGTCAGTTTCTGGAAACTACCAGAGGTGAAAGAAAGTGATTAAATTTGGAAAGGATTGGGAGAACTTCATATTCAAAGGATCAGTCGGGGAAGTGAACTGCCTGAAAAGAGAAAAAAACGCCAGACCCACCAGGACTCGAATCTGGGACCCTGCTTGTCATGAGCAATGCTCTAACCACTGAGCTATGGGACCAGGCTGAACCTAGAAGGCGCTGACAAGTTGTTCACTCCAAAGGCAGCTCACAACACGTGCCACACATACTGATGGCACTTGGGTCTTTTTCCCTCCCCCAGGGGACCAACCACGGTCAGTTTCTGGAAACTACCAGAGGTGAAAGAAAGTGATTA